CTTTTCTAAAAGCCGGAAAAAAGCGGCGGACATTTTTATTTAAATGCCGCGGGGGATATTTAAATCCCCCGTGGATTTCCCTATTACGATCGCTGAAATTAACATGCCCCTTCCAGAAAAGGGGCCAGTGTAGACGTAGCCAAAGGGATGAAGAGGATTTGGGTTTTGATCTTGTGCAGAGGATTGGGGGGCGGCAGGGGGCAGGGACAGGGAGGGAGAAAAACATTTCCTATAAGATCCCATATACACTGATTTAAATCCCCTTTATATCTTACTACAGTAGAGCAAAATAATCAGGAGCATGATTATACTTTAAAAAAAATAAAATGATTGCACACCAAGCAGAAAACTATATTTTATTTCTTGAATGGAATGACTTTGGGGCCCTTACATTTTATCAACACACAGAAAATCTTGAGTAATGTTAAGGTTATGGCACAAATGAAAAAAAATAAAGAAATTCTAATTTTAGGGAATTTGACTCCATTTTAGGCTTAGAACCAGTTCTACTTCAGCAATGATCCTATCTAAAAAAGAGAGTACCTACAAGGGCATGTCAATATATTTTTCCAAGATGATCATTCCTCATGCTTGAAACCTTAAAAATAGGTTGTGATTTGATGTTCAGCACATCAGTGCATGTTCCTTCTGACAGAGATAGCAGGCCGCCACTGATGCTGAACTGATGTTTGCCTGCCGTTTCTACCAGTGAGCACTATATATTTGCACATTTGTTTGTTCCACAGGAGCTGAGGGGGAGGAGGATCAGTGCCAGTTTAAAAATAAAATACCTTTAAGGATTTCTTTAGATAAAAATCTTCCTCTTAGAGCTACTCTCCAGGTAGATCAGTTTTTAAGCTAGTAACCTTGCCAGTGTTCTTTTAAGACCAATACTCCATTATTTCTTGCCTTCTCATGTGTAGCTCTTGCAACACAAATGGTATCTAATTCTGTGTACTGCTTCACAGACCGCTATGGGTCTGGGATCTTATAGGTAGTCGTCCCTATAATATGAGTCTCTCCCGAGTATTTAAAAAAGAAATAATATTCCTGGTTCAGCCTAGCATGCAGAATCTTTCTTCCCAATAGGTTGCTTGTGTGTGCGTGCATATATGTGTGAGAGGGAGAGCACAAACTTTAGTGAGAGAAAGCTAAGACACAAAAGGTATGTCTACACTTGCAGCCTAATTCGAACTAGGGCTGCAAATGCAGGCATTTGGAATTGCAAATCAAGCCCAGAATTTAAATCTCCCGTGCTTGATTTGCATCTTCCCGGCCGGGTGCCATTTTTTGAAATTTACAAGCCCAAAGTAACTGCCCGCGTCTACACGCGACAGTGAAACGGGAGTTCGAAATAAAGCCCTAGCTCGAACTACCTGTTATTCCTCCTGCAATGAGGTTTAACAGGTAGTTCGAACTAGGGCTTTATTTCGAACGCCTGTTTCACTGTCGCGTGTAGACGCGGGCAGTTACTTTGGGCTTGTAAATTTCAAAAAATGGCACCTGGCTGGGAAGATGCAAATCAAGCACGGGAGATTTAAATCCCGGGACTGATTTGCAATTCCAAATGCCTACATTTGCAGCCCTAGTTCGAATTAGGCTGCAAATGTAGACATACCCAAAGGGAGCTTTGCGTTTAGAGCTGAAATATGTTTTCAGAACACATTGTGAAAGAACATTTCCTGGCCATTGGCCCACCACCAAGAAAGCCTGGCTCCCTCCTGCTAAATAGTTTCTCCTTGGTACTATGAATTCCAGCATCCCTAACAAATGTGGGTCTTTTGAAAGGAAGAACGGCAGCCCTTGAAAAAGCTGAAGCTCAGCCCACTGAGGCCCTTGAGGCTCACCCAGGACCTTCAGCTGGATCCAGAATAATACAGTGATTCAGCACATGGTAAGAAGAATCAAAATGATGTGTTCTCATCACTCCCTCCTACAGCTAGTAGATAGAAAGATTTCAGAAAAAGCTTAAGACGGTATTAACATGTTGATGATCAGAGACAGATTACTCCCCTTCTTTAAGTTCTCACACCCCCTTTCACTTAAGAAATAATGTGGCACTGGCAAAACTGAGGAGTGATGCTGGAGCACTTGATGAGAAGGATATACAGACCCTGGTATTTCTTTCTTACTGCAGGCACTAAAGCTGATGATCACCCAGAGAGGCTTGCAAATATGTTGAAGAACATGACAGATAGGACTAAGTATAAAGGTCTCCAGAGGCAAAATCTCTCCAATGAAACTATGCACCACATAGTTTATATCAATATTGTTCTCATCCCTGGATTCACACACTTGATGGATGCACACAAAGGGGTGGGAGTTGTTGGGAGTGACTTTTATTGTTACGATTCAGCCTGTCTTGTACTTAAGGTCTGATTCAAAGAGCGTAACTCCACGTTCTACCTTACTCACTGAGGGGATGGATAAATACCCTCTAACAACTAGCTGAGGCAACACTGGTCCAACAGCATCTTAAAGACAGATTTCAATAATGCAGGTCAAGCTGGATACATCACAGTACATCCCTGACCCTGCCCTGAAGAATAGTCTGAAATTCTCAATCTTAGCTGCTGTAGGCTCAAGAGATATGGTTGTCAATTGGGTCTAAGACTGGCCACAAATGCTTTGCCCCATGCCCTTGTCTTGGTACTGAATTGGGATGTCTCATGTCAGTCATACGCTTTAAATTCGAAGGTGCTGCAAGGCTAAATGTTGAGTTCTCAGAATCAGCTGCTCACAACTCACTGCACTCATTGTTTAAACAACCTTGCGTGGATTAATGTCCGTTTCGTTTCACAAACACTTTCAGGAAAAGAAATGGTTTCAAAGCTGGACCTTAATATGACTAAAGCAATAGAAATATACAGGGTTTTTTTGTTTTTGAAAATGTAGATTATTGATCTAATAGACTGTAACAGCTCTTTCGAAGTAATTAAGGTCTGTCGTGTTAATATGTTATTAGAAACATCTATAAATGAAGATTAATGATGCAACAGGCAATCATGTCTGAAGAAACCATTGTATTACTCCATAACTGTATTCTAAGGTGAATGGTATCAAGACCTCCTTGGGTGCTCCTTAGCTCTTTCCAAGTATAAACCATGGGGGCAATTTTCAAAGACCCATAGAAGAGTTCGGACACAATTTCTGTTGAACGTCAGTAGGACTGATTCTTATTTGTACCTTTGACATCTTCCCATGTATAAGCAATGCAGCTGTTCTGCACGTGTACTGAATCCACACACTAAAAATGTTCATGCAAAGCAGATAGTTTGCTATATTAAATACCACTCGGTCATGTATCTTCCTTTTTATTTTTCTCCACAATATTTGCTAAAGGCCTGTAACATTATAGTTGCGAAAAAGAAAGCTTTTGTTAAGCTATATGAACACTAAATAACCTGGCTTTCCCCTTCCCCTCATATTTGTAAACTAAAAACATCAAAATCAATTTTTTCAAGTTCTCTCTGCTCTAAGTCTGAGACTCAGAATACCAAGTGTGGCCCAGAAAAGAAATAACCCTGTTATGATTTCATTTGTAGGCATGTATCTGAAAAGTTGAACTTAGTGGGCTAGCAATTCCTCTCAGTTACACAGCAGTAATTCCCAATGCACTCTTTGAAAAAAGCTTTTTATAAAAAAAATACAGCTGGTTTATAACTAAGACAGATTCTTAATATAAGGATCTTTCAGTTACTGTAACAACCACATTTCAACACAGTTTAATCAGGATTTTGGCTGAATTGGGAGCTAACACGAGCATACAAAGTTTTGAATATGGCTCCAAAAGGCATGACCCCACTTTCAGTGGTTTGCTGAACCACATCAGAATCCCTTTTAGCCACAACTAAAGCTTAAAACTAAAGAGTTTGGATAGGTAATGTCTTTGCATCCTAAAATGTTCAAGCAATTATGTATCTAAAAGAAAATATCTTCGCAGTGAAAAAAATCTGCTTGATATAGGAAACATGCTCATAGAATCCTCTTCACACAAAAATCATTATAAAATAAACTTTAATATGGAGAAGCAATGATTTTCTTTATTATGTTACTCCCTACTACTTAACTCCATAATTCTTTCTGACTCTCATCTCCCACATCCAGTTTACTCATGCCATCTAGTTTATACTGAACTGGAATCAAATGATAAATTGTCAGAGTAGACACCAAAGGGGGAGAGGAGAACTCCAAAATCATGCTGCAAAAGCTGCAGTTAGCTTCTGAAATGTAATTGATTATGGAAATAACAGGAAGTTGTCTCCTATTAATTTATGAGTCAAGGAAAGTTGTTTCTTGGATTGGGGCCCCAACCATAAAAAAGAAATAAAAAAGAAGAAATATTTACAAGATGCCAGGAACTGTCAAGCCTCATGTATATATACATTGGAGGCTGGAACTACCAGGAGGAAAGGATAACCACAGTTACTAGAAACACTGTAACACCACCAGTGTTCAAGTATTAGCATGCATAGAAAGGGAAACTGGAAAATAGTGGTGTCCCACATTTTTTTTTATTGAGGGAATAGACAGTAATAGAGCACACTCTCCAGGAAGTTACCCTTATCAGATAGTCTGTATTCTATAGCAGCAAACATGTTACAAAAGATTATTTTTATGAGGTTCATTTCAAGAACTCACCTACAGCACTTAAATGTTCTGTCTGATGTGTCTATTTTTATGAGGGAAGCTTCTTTATGCATTTACTCATTTTTTCAATATTCTATCTTAGAAAATAAAATGACAGAGCAGCTGCTAACATGAGGCATTTACGACAACTGAATTAGAATACTGTACTTAAATTCACATGGTAGTATTCCTCAAGAAATCGAAATATCCCTGCTCATTCAAAACTTCTCAACACTGATTTGTGGACTAGCTCCCTTGAGAAGGAAATCAGCATAGAAAAAGCTACTTAGGGCCAATACACTAGACAATTCTGAGTCTTGTGGCGTAGGTTACATGTTCCACAATATACTAAATGGAGCAGAATTTCTTACCTTTGTGATGATTTGCTCCAGATGCTAATTTCCCCCACAGAGTTACAACAAATATTATTATTAGCAGTTTTCCTTTTGTTGCTTTCTGTAAGTATCTCTTATTCATCCTGAAAATAAAGAGAAATGCATAAAATAAGTGTTTAAATGAAACTTCTTTTTTCTTTTTACCACTGTAAACTGCAGTTAGTACTTGTAAAAGGTGACTTGATTGATAACACTGACTAAAATCTTTTTGAGGCATAGAAAAGGCTCAACATGGACAGCATCAGCACACTCTCCCCCCCCCACCCAAGTCAATGTTTTCCCTTCCTGAGATGGAAGGATCATCTCTAGAACTCATAATTTTTTAGCCTTATATCAGAAAGACATCTCTAATGTCCCAAGCTATGCCCTTCACCAAAGAAGCTTCCCAAGAGAAGGCCTCAGTAGAAACCAACCAACTCTCCCGTGAATTTATCCTGGGCAGCCCGTGCCAGCTGAATCATCATGGCTCCACCAAGGTTGATTTGGCCTCTGAATCTACTGCAATGTTTTGTGTATGGCTTTAAGACCACTTGAAACTCTCTGAAACCCTGCATACAAGTCATGATAGATCTAAACAGAATACCAGTAAATGAAGCAACGCACAACATGTGAAAGCCCCATGGTGCTTGATAAACAGGAGGTGGGAGCTGAAGAGCATACCCAAAAGCCTAGGATTCACCAGTATTATTCTTTCTATCCCAAGGGTGGGCAATAATTTTTAATGGGCCAAAGGCCATAATTCTGTAGAGGGGGGTGTGCAGTCTGGGATGGAGGTTGGGTGCAGAAGGGAACTTGAGATAGGGGACTGGGGTTCAGGAGAGGGGTCTGAGAGGGAGTTTGGGTGAAGAAGGGGGCTGTGATCTGGGGCAGGGACTTGGGGTGCATGGTCTGGTAGAGGGTATGGGTGCAGGAGATGATTTTGGCCTGGGGATGATTTTGGCCTGGGGATGATTTTGTAACTGAGAGGAGCTTTAGGAAGGGATGCAAGGTCTGGGAGGGTATCCTGACCTGGGTGAATGGGGTACAGACTGTTTGGGTGGTGACCTGAGGCAGGAGACTGTGGTGTGGGGAAGGGGTATGGGTGCAGGGGAGGATTCTGGACTTTGGGAGGGGTATACGAGGGGGTGCAGGGTCTGGGAGAGAGTTGTAACTGGGAGAAGGGGGAAAAGGGGTACAGAGGCTTTGGATGTGGCCTAGGATAGGTAGTCAGAGGGGAGGTGCTTACTTTCAGAAACCTGAGGCAGATGGTCTGCTGCAGGCTGCTCACTGCTCCATGTGGCTCTGCTCTGTGCATGAGGGAGAGTTAGAAGGGGGACAGGGAGGGAGGTGGCTTCCCACACTGCCCCTGCTCCCAGCAAAAATTCTTAGCTCCTATTGGCCGGAATCTGAGAGATTGGCCAATGGCAGCTGAGATATGAGAAGTCTCTCTCATCCTTCCCCAGCCATCCAGAGCAGAGAGCAGCTGGCTTTTTAAAGTGTGAGCTGTTCTCTGCCTAAGGGTTCTGGTGAGGCAGCCATGAGCTGGATGCGGTGGCTTGACGGGCCAGATTCAGCCCGCTGGCAGCCTCTTACCCACTCCTGTTCTATCACAATGGAAAATAATAGGCAGAAAAAGAATAGGTATCTACCCCACAGCTGCTAAAGTGCGAGCCCTTAAATAGAAGCAGTTGAAAGAGCTCATAGCTCCTGGCCTGCTGCTAAAGTGTTGCCTGGGAGCTGCGGGAAAGTGCTTTCAACTTCTGTTATTTAAAGGCTCTGCCCCTTCCAACCAAGGCCCTGCCCCTTCTTGGGCAGCCTGCAACCACTTTGAATTTTTTTTAAAAGTGGTCCCCCTTCAAAAATTATTGCCCATCCCTGCATTAGCCACTGATGTTGCATAGTTGGCTTTACAGCAATACCTTATGGCCCTGAGACATGATGATGAAATGCAAGATTGAGCATTGATTATATCCGTGCAACTCCATGCAAAGTTGTTAGGCGCCAGAAAACCAACACAGTAGCTCTGGCTCTAGAACTTCAGAATTAGAGTCCTGCAGAGGGCAGCAAGATGTATTATAATGAAACCTGCTCTCACTTTCCTCTCTCCATGCAAGACCCTTACAAAACTGGCCAAGAAACAGTTCTGCAGGATGATCACATTTCTGCTGATAGGTCAAGAGGACAATAATGCCTATTCCATACCATTTACATTGAAAAAGCTGGAAACTGGATCATTTGAACTGAATTACTACTAGTTGATAATGCTTAGAGCTAAGCTGCCTTTTGCTTCAGAGCAGAAAAATGTGTACTGCTTCAGTACTGTTTTGCAATTTCGACAGTTCTCCCCTACGTCATTCATGAGAAGACAGTATTAAAAGACTCTATTCTCTTTCTCTCTTGCTCTGTTCATGCACAGCACTACCCTGACAACCAAAAGTGCAATGAAAAACATGACTATACTATCATTCAAAACTAAGCATGAAACTGTAAAATTCCAGATCTATTTGCACTTAAGAGCAATCCAAATTTGTTCTATATCTCTACACCCCTGCACAGGTGTTTACATATCAGGATTCTGCACATTAACGTTGCAGATGGCAAACCCCAAAATTTAAATCTCCTGTCGGCAGGTATGATTGTACTAAACACAGGAGAGATTTCAAATTGAGCCACCTGTAAAAATATGTGACTCAAATTACCAGAGAAGATTTTAATCTAACTAAAGTTACATGTACCAAAGCACTCAACACCTGCATTTCGAACAAAGGATTAAATGCTCTTTGACAGAAGTAACACATTTACTATATCAGGGGTGTTCCACAGATATAGTTCCCTTCATAGCTACGTGTTCCTTTCATAGCTACCTGGGAGTAACACTGAACTAGAGGAGTGCAGTAACCAGTATTGTGCTAATAGCTTGTGCACCTGAATGTCTGACTGATTAATAATCTTAGTAGCAATCACAGTACACTATGAACCACACGGCATGTGTGACATTGGTTTGCTCCTCTTTGCACTAACATTCCAGTTCTTTCAGAATGCTGCTGTTTTATTTGCCAACAGCTACAGGTTTCTGAAGTGCCCAAAATTGAAGGGACATTTATTATTTGTCATTATAAAAAAAGGAATTAAAAATTTAAACAGAGATAGATGTTCACGACGTTGAGGTATAGCCAGTTATGTGAACAGTATTGAAATTAATTCTTTCACTTCCAGTCCTCCACTGCAGTTGTTGTGATCCTGGTGCCAATCAAAATTCCATTAAAATGAAGTCTATCTCCCATGCACACCCAGCCTCACTCTAAGGGGATTTGCACCATTAAGCAAAGAGCTACCCTGCTCCCCAGCACTGTTTGATGTTACCAGATCCTCTCCACTTCCCCTACAGTGAGACAGACTGTAGACACGGACTGCAGAAACTAGCAACAGAGAAAGGCAAAGAGGAGGGGAACAACCAGTTTGCCTGTAAATAGCAGCCTCTTATGGCAGATAACACAGGGAGCAGTTTAAAAAACACACCTCTTTCCTGCTACCAGCCTTACATACAGGACTGTGATGACCTAATACTCAGCAGTCCCAATGACCTACCAATCCTCTAAAAGGGCCGTCCTCACACCAAAAATTAGAGTTTCGAGCTTTGCCGCAATTAACAAAATGGCACCTTCCCTCTCATGCTAACAATGTGTTTTCTCAATCCTGATGGCAATAAAAGATTAGAATTTCCACAGGCTAAATAACCAATGTTCACCATACACCACACCTGTGTTGTTTAAAATAAAATAATCAAATGGATGCAATATTTTTAGTGAGCTTATTGGCAATGGAACCATGTCCATCATTATGCACCACAGATCATCCCTCATAGATGTTTATCTAACCTACTCTTAAATATCTCCAATGATGGAAATTTTACCATCTCCACACATAATTTATTCTAGTGCTTAATTACCTTGATGGGGATTTTTTCCTAATGTCCAACCTAAATATCTCTTCCTGCAATTTAAGCCCATTGCTTCTTGTCCTATAAGAGGTTAAAGAGAATTTTTTTCTCCCTTCTCCTTTTAACTACCCTTTTAGGAACTTGAAAGCTGTTATGTACCCTCTTAGTTTTTTCTTCTCCTAATTAAACAAACCCAATTATTTCAGTCTTCCCTTATAGGTCATGTTTTCTAGACCTTTAATCATTTTTGATGCTCATCTCTGCACCTTCTCCAATTTCTCCACATCTTTCCTGAAGTCTGGTGCCCAGAACTGGACACAATACTCCAGCTGAGGCTTAATCAGTGCAGAGTAGAGCTGAAGAATTACTTCTCATATCTTGTTTACAACACTCCTGTGAATGCATCTCAGAATTACATTTGCTTTTTCATATTGATTCATATTTAATTTGCGGTCCCTTATGACTCCCAGATCTGTTTCTGCAGTATTCTGTTATAGGCAGTAACTTCCCATTTTATATCTGTGATACTGATTGTTCCTCCCTAATTAGAGTATTGTGCATTTGTCCTTATTGCACTTTATCCTATTTACCTCAGTCCATTTCTCCAGTTTGTCCAGATCATTTTGAATTATGACCCTATCATCCAAAGCACTTGCAACCCCTCCCAGCTTCATATTATCCACAAACTTTATAACCATAATCTAAGTCATCTAAATTATCTAAATCATTGATGAAGATATTGAACAGAACTGGTCCCAAAACTGATCCCTGCAGAACCCCATTCGTTATGCTCTTCCAGCATGACTATGAACCATTGATAACTGCTCTCTTGGAGTGGTCATCCAGCCAGTTATTCGCCCACCTTATAGTTGTCCCATCTAGGTTATTAATGAGAAGGTAAAACGAGACTATCCAATGCCTTACTTGAGATTGTATCATGTGAGACTGTATCAAATGCTTTACTGAAGTCTAGGTATACCCTATCTACTGCTTCCCCCTTATCCCACAAGGTTTGTTATCCTATCAAAGAAAGCTATCAGATTGGTTTTCACGCTTTTCAAATCCATGCTGACCAATACTTATCAGTTTATTATCTTCCAGATTCTTTAATTATTTGTTCCATTATCTTTCCTGGATCAGAAAATAAGATGACTGGTTGTCGT